GAATATACTAACGAACGAACGAACGAACGAACGAACGAACTCGCCTACCCCCCCCCCCCCACCCACCCCACTTTAAAAAAAAATTACCTACTAACAATTCTCGTCCCCTTGTGGGATGTAGTTTGTGTGGTTATTTTGAAGCCCCACTCTGGCTTTTGCCAGGGGCCCTCAATCTCCACAGGTAATCCTCATCCGCATGGTGGAACATTGTGTCACCGGGTGTAAATCGCTTGTACAATGTCTTGATGGGGCACAAATTACCTCCCCCCTCCCCCACCCCTGTTTTTTCCCTATCCTCGAACAATGAATTCGGCACGCAGGCCCGTTTAACATTATGCCGTTTTATGGAAATCCTTACGTACATTATTTCAATCATACATCATTTCACATGTAACAAATAGACATGCATCGATACGGACTAAAAAGAAGGTTGGAAAACAATCATTCTTCTAGTAAACAGTAAGGTCCCTTTTGCGCGCCTTTAGGCGTAGTGGGAATAGAGGGCCAGATCTATATTTTTATAGACCAATCGGCACTTGGTGGGTGATGTGGTCAGCATCACGCCACAAGGCTGGTCTACCTGGTAGTCAAGATCATTTTTGAAGGAAAAAAAAAGTCCGGCTCTTTCAGGACGCGAACGCATGACCTTCCGAACCTCCAGCGCCACGGCAACTCCCCAGTCATTTTTTCTGCTTACGCGTAAAGAGTCCCTGAGATACGCATGTTAGACGTAGCCTTTTGTCTTTATGGGAGCCGCGTTAGCGCAGTGGATAGGAGACTCGCTTTTAAATCCAGCTGCGACTCGCTGCAGCCCATGGACGGTTTTCGAAAACGGACAGTTTCCGGGGTTCACCCAGCCTCTAGGAAATGTGTACCAGGGGTTAACACTTTTGGGCAAATGAAGGAATGTTGCTGTAGCTACGGAGTTGCGTGGAGACGGCGACACAGGCGGACAGTTTCTTATCAGCTGTCCGTACTGGTGGCAGAGCACTTATGGTTTAAAACCGTGTGCAATGACGCTGGTTTACATCTCTTGACTTTACCTTTTTCTGTCTATTCCTAGCTTGTGTTTATGTCATACTGCGTTTTTTTAATGTCTCCTTCTGCATCCACAGATCTGTTTCTTGTTTAACCTTTTGTCTTTTTGAATGATGTTCTCATATAGTACGCGCTAACAGCTGGCTGACTGTGTCCCATATTGACAGGTTACCAAGTTATTCGATTCGTTGATTCTCTATGAAATAATTCATCGGTAAGGTGTCTACCATTGTTGGCAGTTTGCCATTGGTGACTCAGCTCTTTTTTACTTGTCCTGCTGCATTTCTTATTCATCTTATTTCACCAATTGTGAGTTTTGTGTTTGTTTTTCAAGGAATGTCCAAGTTTGGCGTTGATATCACCACGTTTGTACAAATAGAGCATTTTCATCTCCTTTTGAGTGTCATCATCACCATCATCAAGTGCTTGCCAGCTAAAGTAGGCATTCATGCATCTCCATAAATCTTGGTCTCTGGTGTTCTGGATCAGTTCCACTGATGATATTCCTCCATGCCGCTGTCTTAAGCAATCCACCATCATTTCTCTTGGTCTGTCTCTGCCTTTTCTACCAGTGTGTACATGTTATTATTTCGATGTCTCAAGCGTGGAGCTATTTGTTAATTTATATTGTTTGCCTTCTGTGTTCTATTTTCTTTTTCTGTGTCACTCTTCCATCCTCCATTAATACACTGTCTAGAGACTTAAACTCGTTAGCTTTTTTAATGCCTCTCCTTCCACAGTGATGTTATGTTAACCGGTGCTCTAGTTACTGTTATTATTTCTCTATTTTCAGTAGTACTTTTCAAATAATATTTATTATAACGGGTGTGGAGACTGTTTTGTGGTGTTGGATGTTATCATCATCTGTGTGTAATAAGGTATGAGAGTTTGCAAATGTCGTTGCATTTACATCCTCATACTTAGGGTTTGCTTCGATAGCTAACTTGTCCATATAGATAATAAACAAGAGTAGTAACAGTATATACCTGTCTCACCCAGATGAAACTTGGAACCAGTTTGCGATTGCTACAGTTGTACTTATAGCACATTCAGTTGTGTTATAAGAGTCATTAGCTAAGCTAATCAGTCAATCAGTCAGCATGTCCGTTACATATGTCGCTATCTTCACTGCACGCTTGAAAGTCTCTCTATACCCAAAGCACTCTTCAATGTCCTGTATTCACTTTTCCGAGGTCGTCCTCTGTGTCATTTCCAAAAAACTGCACCTTCCATCACCGTTCTCTCTAGACCACCATAGCTGTTTTATGTTTGAGTCCAGCGACAGACAGGTCGACCCAGCCTTGAGTGGGTACCGGGTGCAGTCCTGGAAAGTCAATGCAGCCGGCGTGATGCTGACCACATCACCTATCTTGTGCCGATTGGCCTATAAACATATAGATCCAGCCCTATATGCCCAATACGCCTAGAGGCGAGGAAAAGGGTCCTTTACTTTTTTTTAAACCAGCGACATAGCCTTCCACTGCAGCACTTAAAAAAATGAATTAAATCAGTGGTTCTCAAACTTCCTAATACAGCGGACCTTTAACACAGTTCCTCAAGCTGTGGCCACCACAACGATTATATTTTTTACTTTGCTACTCAAAAACTTCAGTGAATATGTGTTTTTCGATGGTCTTGGGCGACACATGTGAATGGGCTGTTTGACTCCCAAAAGGGCTACGAACCATAGGATTAGAACCGCTGAATTAAATGGTATCGTAAAATTGATAAAAACATTCACTGGAATCAAGAGGTGAGGTTAAAGACGTCTTTGAGATCACGTCCGGCTGTATACTTATATCTAGAGTTGGCAGTGTTTGAGATACACATGCGATGCGAAAACCTGATGGCATCATAAACAGGATGTCCTTGCACTGGAATACACAAGTCAAGAAATCGATCGATAAAATTAGCGCCCCTGGACTGCTAGTTAATGATTTACCATACAATGGTGCATTTAAAAAATATAAGAATTTTAGTGGACAAAGAGGTGAAAAAAGACGCTGGCGTTGGATAGGACACGCGTTAAGAAAACCAAAGAACAATATAACTTGAATATCTTTGCACTGGAACCCACAAGGGCTTGGAAAGAAAGGCAGAATAAAACACACATACACGGAGAAGGGAGCTGGAAAGAAAGTTTTAAAAAAATGGGGAGAACAAGGGGAGAGCTGCATGCGATAGCGAAGGATAGAACGACTTGGTGTGAGTTGGTTGAGGGCCCATGCTCCATTGTGGGCTAGAAAGGTCGAAGAGGAAGTGGAGTAAAAATCTCAATCTCGACTGCAGACCAGCACGGTAGATCCCGGATACCCTGTTCAACCTCCAAAGAAGTTATAATTAGCGCATCAGTCACGGCGGCATAAGCTACGAGTAACATGCAATCCTATGCAGGTAGCGTGATGCTGACCACATAACCCATCTTGTACCGACTGTTCTATAAAAATTTAGGTCTGGCCCTATATGCTTCTATATGCCTAAAGGCGTTGAAAAGAGACCTTCACTTTTGTTCACTATGCAGGTAGGGTCGAGTCAAAGGAATAATGGTAGGGAAAAGACACCCGAAAAAGGGAATAAAAGAGTGAGGGGAGGCGGATAGAGATAACATGTGGGGAACTGCACGCGATGACAAGGGTTAGATCAACGGCAGGAGTTATTTGAGTGTCTATCTGATTGAACATATGTCTGTCTGATTAAACATAGTATAGTCTATCTGTTTTAACATATGCCTGTCAGATTTAACGTGGTAAAGTCTATCTGATTTAACATACGCCAGTAAAAGTTAGAAAACTACTAAAGATATGGAATGAACTCGCCCTTAAAAAAATGGTGGGGAAAATGATGAACATGGACAGTCGCATCTCGTAGAAGACCAAGCTAGTTCGCAACTATTCTTTACATAACATTCTTTGGGACCACCGTTTATTATTACCATTTGTGAGTATTTCAAAGCTGAGCGGCTTCCCGAGCACATACATCTCAGGATTTAGCAGTGAATACTGAAAGTGATTCTGTAGACATGGCCGGTGTACTCCTTTGCTCAGGTGATATAATTCTATACGCAGAGCTGGTGCGCTCATTTGCTCATGTGATATAATTCTGTAGGCAGAGCTTGTGCACTCCTTTGCTCTGGTGGTATAATTTTGTAGACAGGGCTGGTGCACTCTTTTGCAAAGGTAATTGCACTTCTTTGCTCAGGTGATATAAATCTGTAGACAGAGACAGTGCACTTCTTTGTTCAGGTAATATAATTATGCTAAGAAGGCAGTGCGCGGCACCAGCTTCACTAATGTATCCAAACTTTAGACTGAAGCTAATGTGTTAACAGCTATTTTGATAACCCTGCTCGGTATTTTCCATCCTTCTGGATTTCAGATTGTTGCAAGCACACTCCCTGGATACTACGTAATAGGAGATGTAAACAAATGTATTTACTGAAGAATGTCATTCTTAGTGCTTGGGGATTCCTCCCCTGTTCTTCCACAGTGTTTTTCGTTCCCTATTCTTCCACAACACTTGTCTTATCAACCCTTCCCCCACCCCTTCCCCTCCACACCTGTGTGGGTACCTCTGAAGTAACCACATCAAGCCCCCCTACCCCACCATACACATATACACGATACACGTGACATACATAACACTTACGTATATTTACATGTCTAGCTTATCACTCTAAACACAAAAATATCTACAGTTACGCACGCAAGTTCTCCCTGGCGTGAAATTGGAGATACCAACAACATAGATAACACCCAAAAACTAGAACGCCCAGAAACTTGACTTGTCTTTTCTGATTGCTTGTGTTGCCAAACAGGAAAGGCTTGGGAAAACATTTAAATCTTCGTGAGTACGGGCTGATTTAGACTTGAACATTTGTACTCAAGTTTTGTGGTTCTCTGCATGTGTTTGACAAATACAGCAAAGCAGCCGGGAGTTTTGTTGAGCTTGTTTTGTTAAATAAAATGGAGTTAATATTCCATGTGGTGTGGGTGTGCTTCCTGGTAAGAATACCATTGGTTTTTTTTAAATTGCAGAACTGTTTATAATGTTACTTGTGTAATACATATCAAGAGACCTTAACTGAATCACAGACAGTTGGATTAAAAAAAGTTCAACCCCACAAGGACAGCACAACGAGCGATAAACACCAGATGACATAAAGTATAAGAATCGCCCGGGCGTTAGTCCAAGAAACCCCGTTCAGCTATTAGGTTCTATTAGGGCCCCCACGACAGGCGGAGTGGGGCTTTAAAGTAACGACAATTTGGGATGGATGTACGTTAAGGACAGTTGGCACATTAGAGAAAGGTTATTTGGACGCGCCGGAAATTTGGTTTATAGACGAATTATGAGATAATCTGAACACATGAAAAGAGTACGTGGGTGTCTTGAAAGAAACTAATTCACGGAGGCAACTGACTGCCAACATCGGAAGGAGATACTCCTAATTTTGTGCATCATGTCACGAGACGAAAAACAAAACTGGAGTACATGGTAATGATGGACAATTTGGAGGGAGGAAAAGGGCAATGGGAGACCGAGAGAAAATATGGACAGTTCGACATCGTGACATGAGAAATCGTTTGTGCCAGAAAAGATTTAAAGTACACGAGACAGAAGGCTGTGGGTCGAACAAGATTACCACACGGCATAAACTATAAGAAGACGGATGTATGTAAAGACAATCCTGATGTACCGAAGCGAATCATAAACTGACAACGATAAGGAAATGTTTTTTTTTTAACAGAGGAATGATGAGAACTCTACAGAGAAAAGGAAACGTACTAAGATACAGCAACGTTTTGGATCACGAATTTAATTCATTCTTTGACTCTGTTCCCGAACCGAAATGTTCGAGAGCCGAAGCATTTGGTTTATTATTGAAATCAATGCAAATACAATTAATCCGTTTGGCACCCCCAGAAATATTTTTTAAACACTTGTTTCAAATGGGTTATGTGTAAATAAAATATACAGCATAACACTTACCTTTGTGGCTAATATTTGCTAGCACGGGTAAATGGTAGAGGAGAAGGAAGATCACTTCTTCAAAGGAAAGTCCCATTCCGTAAAAACGTCAAGCAACTGAGTAGTTTTTTCTATGGCTCTTACTCCGTGTGGGTTCCGGGGCCCTATTATAGGAAAAAACAAGAAGAGACCCACTGCCTACCCAAAAGCCTGTCGTAAGAGCCGACTAATTGGGAGCTTCCTTCGAAGTCGGAATGCATCTGTCTGAGAGGCAAGGAACCAGCAATCTGCATACAAATAAATCAGATCTGTAAAATGGATGCACACGCAACACTCAGGTTCTGGAACAGGACTGCAGTCCAGAAGTGGACGAACAGCCAGAACTTTCCACCAGAGTTTACAGCTGGTGAACGCGAAGAAGAAGAATAATAATTTGCTCTTGTTTGTAACATGGGAAGTACTTCGATTACTGGCGCAGTGGTTAGCATTAATGTTTCTACTTCTAACACTTGAAACCTTTGCCTCGTAAACATAGTAACTCCTTTAGCCACATTAGCCGTCTTTAGCACAACTTCGTGTTTATTAAGATAGTACAGAGGGTAGATTTAGTCATGTTGCAATACTTGGCGAGGTCGGAAACACGAACACTATTATCAAGCACAGTTATTATTTCCTCCTTCATTACACTTAGGTTTACTGTAATACACTTAGGTTTACTGTAATTAATTAGGTTTACTGTAATACACTTAGCTTACTGTAATACACTTAGGTTTACTGTAATACACTTAGGTTTACTGTGGTACACTTAGGTTTACTGTAATACACAGGTTTACTGTAATACACTTAAGTTCACTGTAATACACTTAGGTTTACTGTAATACACTTAGGTTTACTGTAATACACTTAGGTTCACTGTAATACACTTAAGTTCGCTGTAATACACTTAGACTTCTATACATCACTAACACTCCTCACTTTCTTAGGAGCTATATTGAGGAGGACTCGTGTATCAAGAACTACGCAACGATAAACAATGTTGACAGCGCCCAAAACCTGAATACCGATAGCATCTGTCGGTTAGCTGAAAACATCTTTGTTCGCGGGTCGAGTCAAAATGTGTTTAGAAATTGTGTTCCTGGCTAGAGGCGTTTATAAACCGAGTTACTGTACATTGCAAGGAAAAATAAATCATTGTTCAATTATGAAGAGAACTTATTGTCCGCATTAGAAGTTGGCAACCAAAATTCACCAAATTCTAAATATACGTCGTGAAATGAGGACAACTAGAGTACGAAGTAAGCTCCCACCACTCCCACATCCACCTCCCCCCCCCCCCAAAAAAAAAAAACCCGCGCATTTCCCCTCCAAAAAAAAAGTGTTTCGAGTGCTTTACAGAGCGCTGCTGAACCAACCCCAACACAGTATGTTTGTGTGGCTATTTGCACGGTCGGCTTTCCCTAAGTAAAGTAGAGGACCCTTTTCGACGCCTTCAGGCGTATTGGGCATATAGGAGTAGACCTATATTTCATAGACCGATTGGCATTTAGTGGTTCATATCGTCAACATCCCGCCGGCCGCCTTTACTTCGCAGGACTGCAACTGGTACCCACTCAAGGCTGGGTCGAACTGGGAGTCAAGGTCATTTTTTTTTAAAATCCGGTTCCGTCAAGACCCGAACCCACGACCTACGGATCCGCACGCGATCGTCTAGTCGCTACACCACGACGACATCCTAGATGGCGATACCATTGTCGAAATCAAGACAAAGCCATATGCGCTCAAATAGTCCACATGAGGAATTGAACCAGGTATCTTGGAATCCCAACGTCTAAACCATGGACGCTGACACAGGACAGATATCGCATGGAAATGTCCACTGCGCCGTGATAAAAAACCCACTGTGGAGTTCCTGGACACGAAAGAGCTGATAAACTAGCTAAGGAAGGTGCAACTGAAGAACAACCCGACATACCAGTCTCTTATCAACAGAAGAAGAGAATGATCAAATCAATCAGAATGCCACCGAAACTGGCACAAAACGATTACGATATTATGGACAGACCAGAGCAAGTCATTATCCTTCGCCTTTGAACAGGGCACAATTGACTTCGCTGCCACATGTACAACAAGTTTAAGATTGGCCAATCAGCCATGTGTACCTGTGGACTGGCACCTGAGACAACAGATCACGTCCTCCAAGACTGTCCCAGATTTAACGCTTCCAGGCAAAACTTCTGGCCAAAAGAGACACTTGTGGAAGTCAAACTTTACGGGCCGCTTAGTGAAGTACAAAAGATAATTTATTTCATGCAAACGAAAGAAGAAGAAGGACTATGATTGTTATTTTTACCAGCAAAATGAATGAAGATTCGGGTCGACATAGTAACAGTTTGCAATTGTAACTGTAGATCATAGTGTCTGATTTCTTGTTTTTTTTTTTTTTGCTACGATGTACTCGCACACATTCAGCTGTCGCATAAGATGCTTGCTTGTTTGCTTGCTTCTTGAAAAACAAAAAGAATAATTTGATCACGTTCAGGCTTTTTAGCTATATATCTGCTGCATATATTTGCGACCTTTATTAGGTTTGATTTGCTTGAATATGGTTTCCTTCGGTTCCATTTGGTTATGTTGTTCTAAACGGTTTGACTGATGTCGCATAAGATAAAAACAAGATGCTTTTGTAGGTTGTGCTTGCTGAAGCCCAGAGCAGCAGAGAGGGGCCGTGCTTCGAGTTTCCTGGAGATTCATTTATTCACTTCACGCCCAATGTCTTTGACAACAACAACGAGTGAGTTTTTTTTTTTTTTTTTAAACACTACCTAATTTTGTATGTATGTATGTTTGTTTGTGTGTATGTGTGTAAGTGCAGGGGGTTGCAGTTGGCGTCCTTCTCGTTTTACTAGAATACTCCACAAAATGTGTGCAATTTCCACAAGTGATTTGGCTGCAGTGGGAACATGTTTCTGCAGTTTCTTTGGGAAAATTAGATGGTGATGTTTTCCACAGTGCTACTCTTGTTCCACTGTCCACTATGTCCAATGACAGGACTTACCACTAAATCCCCGAGGTCCTGGAAAAGTCTACCTAGGTTTGCGATTTGAACAACAGATCAACATCATGGCACACAGGTAGTAACCCATAAGTGCTCCGTTCTACTTCTAACTCAAGTCTGAGTCCGAAGAAGCTCAGCACAGTGCACAGGCTCGGTAGCACCTCAAGGAACCTGAAATACTTTGGGTTGATTTTTAACTCCGAAATTTCGCCCGGGTAGCGCCGTTAGGCTACTCTTTTCGATTTCCAACTGCTTAGATATTTTCTACGTGCGCAACAATACACACAGACGTCCGATCTCACTACCCAGAGACCCAGGGGAATCACTAGAAGTCCAAGTCCACGTGAAGAAATCCCAGCCCTTGACGGGAATTGAACCTGGAATCTCTAGCACTTGAGCCGAACGCCATGCCCCGAGACCACTCAGACCCCCAGAAAAAGTCAACACGAAACCTAATGAATTGTTTCGCCCTTCCTAAGATGCAATGAATGAGCCATGGTCAATTAAAACAAAACAGACTCCAGGGGCACTCAGAAAGACCTGCAGGAAAACAAGCAAAAAAATCTTCTAGCCACTGCTCTACCTCGGCTTTATCTGGGATTTACCTTGTTAGATAAACATCTAGGCTGCAACTCACTGAATCGAAAGAATAATCTTACATTCAGTTCGCCTCCTGTAGGACGGAAAAAATATAGGCCAAAAGACCGATCTATACACTGGAACATAATTTCCCACTTCACCAGTGATGAGCGGAACGACTAACAAAACAAATTAATCCACGAACTTCTTGCACTCCGACCGCTGCCGAGGTTGTCTCTGTGATCAATGGGCAGAATCTTAAGGGAACAATAAAAGAATAACCGATTGTAATGATGACATTAGGGAATTTGTTCTGTTTATTTTTTTCTAACTGGAAAATACTACAGGAGGAAACCCAGTTTCTCAGTGTCTACGACCTTTTTTTCCGTCTTTTTATATATCTCTTTGCCCATCTCACCCTGTCTATCAGCCGTTCCGCTTGTCGGTTTGTTTGTCTGTCCGTCTGTCTTTCTGCCTGTCTATCTATCTGTGTAGAAAACACAGTTGCTGTGTGAAATATGGGTGTTTGAAAGGACCAAATGTGAGACGGGTCAGTGTACCAAAATTGTGACATTTGGGAAAAAAGATAGTTTCTTCTGTGTGTTTGTGTGTGTGTGTATGTTTGTGTATCTCCATAATCTATGGCTATTCTGTCCATTTATTACTTCTCCTCACCCGTCCCTCTATCGGAAACTGACGATCTCATAGCATGGTACAGTGACCTACAACATATGCAAGTTTCAAACTTTGACTTTCAATCAAAGAATTTAACCCAACTTGCTATCTACACATATGATTTCATTAAGCAATCCACGGATTTGATCTTTATTGATACAGACCCTGGTCTTTCCTATTCATGTAAACCAAACTTTAATCATAAACGCTCCCCTTTCCACAGCATTCACTACACTCTACACTTCAGAACCACGCATGAGAATGGCATCCTTCTCTACGCTCGGGGCCAGGACGGCGATGACGAAGCGCTGTACACTAGAAACGGCAAGCTACGCTATCATCTATTCAACACCTCACCCACAGGTATTGAGGGATATTTCGGTGCATTCTTGGAAGGAGACGAGACAGTCAACATCGGTCAGTGGGTCAAGGTATACCAATTGTTATTGCTCTTTGCCTTTGTTCTTCTTTGACACCTTTCCTTCATTCCAGTATCATATTTTTCTGTAGCGAGGTATAGGAACCACCTTCCATGGCGATGGCGACTAGCTGGACCAACTCGCGTTAATAAAAGGTAACCTTTATCTAATAATTAATTAAAGTAAGTTAATGCATACAAACAAAACTGCCATGGAGAAGGAAATATATGTTAATGAGGAAAGATTGGAAGTGGTGGAAAATTTCGAATATCTTGGGTCACTGGTTACCAACAATGGTGACACAATGAAAGAAATTAAACGGCGACTATCAATTGCTCTTCAAAGACTAAAACAACTGAATAAATTATGGAATTGTACAGATATAATTACAAAGGTCAGATTTTTAAGAGCATGCATCTTTCCCATTGCAACATACGCCTGTGAGACCTGGACACTTACTAAACAAGCGGAACAGCGCATAAATGCATTTGAATATAAATGTTACAGACAGGTTCTAAGAATATCTTGGGTAAAGAAAAGAACAAATGCATCCATACTTCAAGAGCTGAATATTGAAGAGGGTTGGCTAGTAAAGACAATAAAACAAAGAAAATTGAAATATTTTGGTCACTTGAAACGTCATGGAAGTCTAGAGAGAACAATAATGGAGGGGTATATGCCTGGGAAGAGAGGAAGAGGAAGGCCAAGGAGAAGATGGGTGCAGGATGTGGCAGATGATCTCCAGATGGGTGTATCAGACGCAGGACATCTTGCTCAGGATAGGACGGTTTTCCGGAGGGTTGTTATGACAGCGAGGTTCCGCGAGGGACATGCTACTGAATGAAGTTAATGTTAAAATGGTTAGTGAATATCTGGCATTTGTCAGTCTTAACAGACACCAGTATTATGTTGTGGTGTATAGGCTGTCACTTTCATGCCAGCCGCCATGCAATTCACAGAACCTTCCCTGGTACTCATTTATGCTGGCTATCCTTGAAGCCAGAAGCCATAGTAGCGTAGCGACTAGACGCCCGCCTAACGGTCCGACTTTGTACAGAAAGCAATGGCAAACTACTGGACGTAAATTTGCATAGAGAAACCATACAACAGCCAGGGGCTGCTGGGGTTGGTTCTGCAACGTCCTGTGAAAGATACGAGATTAACCTAACCTAATACCTGGAGGCCTAGGTCAGTTTTGAAACCTTGTATAGAAGAAGTACATAATAAATCCTGTTTTAGCTGATATATTCGTTTAACAATGTTGAATGCTGTTGAATGTTTTAAGAATCGATAGCACAGCACTCGGGACACTCCCGTAAGTGCCCAGTCCCCATCTTCAGCAGCAAGCGAAGAGTTCCAATTCCGATTGTACCGGTAGCCACCTGTTTTATTTCCGGCTCATCCTTCCCCTGAGCGTCGGCCAGACCCCTTGGTAACTCCTCGCAGGGTCATTCTCGTTTATCAGTGAAAGCCGAATGATAACTTTGGTTTATTAAACGCTGTAACGTCAGGATATTGAGTCCAACGCTTCTACAACGTCTTTGAGTTTTTTAACGATCCGCTCTAGATGTATTACCTGACTATAAAAAAGGTAGTCTCTCCCTTGGCTAGTTTGAGAAAGGCCCATTTGACCAAGTTTTCCGGCTGTCATTTCAAGTGAGCGTCCCGCCACTCTCCACTTGTAGTTTTCCTCCTATGGCATAAATTCTTATTCTTCTCAAATTGGCTTGCCAGGTTTTGCGCGTTGACAGGTTATGGTTCAATGACTTCACATATCGTTTTGTATTCAACATTGACTAATATTTCTTCAGTCAATTAATCAGTTTGGTGCAGTCTCTACAGTAAAGGTTAGCTGCAATAGATCTCCAACACGCCCTTTTTCTTGTTCTGGTTGTACACTCTCTCAGACTGCTCCCCGTCCATCTCTTGATCTTATCCTCCTACTTGTATCGTTGCATACTTCTTGCTCTCTACATTTGACCCTTCCCTCCAGTATACTTTTAAAAGCGTGTTATGTCTTTTAATGTGGCCGAAGTATTTCAGTTGTCTCTTGAAAAAAAAAAAAACTTTCAAAATTTATTTCACTAATTCTTTTTTCGTTTGTACTTGTTTGCAAATATTCATAATATTTTTTCAGGTTTAAAGGAAACACTAAGATCTATATTATGTTGTCTGTCTGCTCTGCTATCCCCTTTTGTTCATGCAATATTAATTATAATATAAGTTGTAGTAGAAGTAGAAGCAGCAGAAGTAGCAGTTGTGGTGGTGGTTGGTATTCGTCGATTTGTTCCGCCTCTTTCTGCTCCTTCTTTTTGCCCTCCATTTCCTCTTCTTCTTTTCTAGACTTTCTTCTCTCCTCCTTTAACATTTCCACTGTAATGTTAGTTATTAGGTTTAATTAACAGTCATTATTATAATTATTATTATTATCATTATTATTATTATTATTATTATTATTATTATTATCATCATTATTATTATTATTATTATTATTATTATTAATGTGTGCATATATGGATCCATTTCTCTCCCCCATTTAGGAAAAAACGTAACGTTAAGGTTAATAAAAAAAAAAAAAACGACTTAACAGCAAGGTTAACTCGTGCACAGCGAGTGAGACTGGTTGGTAGTTAATTATCGGAGTGTGTCACTCTGTAGTGTTGTTATTATTATTTTTTTGTATTATGTGCTAATTGGTAAGTAAATCTAACAATGTGTCTGAACATATATCAGATGTGTAAATGAATACTTCAACAGAGAGGTTCTGTAGTGATTGTTTTGGGCGACGCTTAGCCTCCAAGCGAAATTGTTAAGAGGGAGGAGGACTTACCCTAAAATATTGGGGGAGGGTGGCTGAATGGTGGGGAGGATGCTTGATGTAGTAGGCTTCGACCTACCCTACAATTATAGGGGGAGGGGGAGGAGCGTGGGGTGGATGGGAGGGGGAGATAGATCCAACTTACCTTTAAAATTTCGAGGGATGGTGTGGGGTGGGTAGGAGGTTGAGGTAAGCTGCATGAGCTCCCTATGTTCCAGCGCACATGATTCAAGCACTAGTCTTTGCTGATGCACCCAGATTAACTATAATTCAATTGCTAATTTGTGTCTAGAATAGAGAGCATTTGGACTTCAGCTGGTCACCATATATTTATATGTATACTCTCGTCTGCTAAAAAAAAAGGTCTTCGGTTCGAATCCTTATCGAGACTATTTGTTTTCCAGATTGACATTGACTTCTAAATTGATCTAGCACAGAAGGTTACCAGATAGTTTCCTGAGGGTGGGTGAAGTGCTGTTGACCACATCACTACAGAGTGTCGATTGAGCACATCACTATCGAGTGTCGATAGGTTAGAAAATAAATGAATCTAGCATCATATACTTAATGCACCATTGGCAGGGGGCTTGAAATCTCTAAAAGGATCTGCTTCTTACCAAAGTACCCTAACGTTTGCTGGCGTGAAGGGTAATGAGCAAGCGGACTGACTGGCAAGCAATGCACCAACGCATCTGGGAAGAAGCATGGACAGAGCAAATATCATCAACGCTGCACGGACTGGGCTAGTGGATAATGACCAATCTCTGAGACAAACACGATTGCATAACATGGGAGTAAAGCATGGTAAAGCACGTTTATGCCGTTTTTAAGGCCGAGATATGTGACATTAAACCAACCGCTCATGGGAACAGTTATACCTTGGAATGGTGGCTGCACTGGAGGACTGAGAACGCATGGGAATGCCCAGTGTGCAATGGCATCGACTATGACAACATAACATACATAAGGTGTGCATTAATAACCTAGAAATAGAAGCCTTGCACCATTTCTTTGTCTTTTATATTAACTTACATACAACAGGTGCAAGTGTATCGCTCCTGGAAACATATTGAGCCACCACAGCGTCGAGTCAAGAGGAAAACAGGGTTTGAAGTAGAAATCGAGGGTGTCGTCTACAAACATTTTGATTACCTCGAGCGTCGGGACATTTCTTTACTTCCCACGATCTACATTGGAGGCTACAGAGAGAGTCTCGTAAGTACCTGGCACTTTGTGTGGCATTATGAATGTTTCGCTCCTAGCCCCAATCCGTGTTTACACTAACGAATGCATGTGAGATCAGACTATATGTCATTTTTTTTTTCAATATTACCACCATCATCTTGTGTGGTAATTTTGTCTATGTCATTTAACATTTTTATTTTCTTTATTTGATCTTATGTGCTTTGTCCCGCTAGACGTTGCAGTTTCATAGATGCTATTTAGCTCAATCAGGGCAAACTTGTTTGCTTGGTATAATGTTTTGTTATGTTATGAAGTCTCAAGCTGTCATTGGCTCCTTCAGTCCATCTTCTTCTGGTCTCCCTCTGCATCTTAATGCTTTTTTTTTTCATGTTGTACACTATCTCTGTCGGCATAGTTGGATTTATTCTAACAAGATGGCCGATCCATGTCGATCTGTATCTCAGTTAATTTAACAATGGGTATTTTTCTAACAGCAAATCTCATAATTTACCATGCACTCTTCTAGTTTTGTTTTCAGCCTTTCTTGAGCATCTCATTTAATTGGTTGCTAGTTTTCCCTCTACAGTGTTATTTCACTGGTCAGGTTTTGATTTGTTAATGATGTGATTCGTATGTGTAATTTAGTGTTCCTTTAACTCTTGAGTCCCAGAGGGTTTAGCATCACAGGCCCAAGGGGTAGTCAAGAGAGACTAAAATCGGCGCATCATGCGTTCATTGGGCTTCAAGGCAGTAAAATATGAACGAATGATGCGTTCCTTGGGAATTAAAGAGTAAAGTATGCCACAGATTCAGCGCACCACCAGTGGATAAATGTTGACACAAACTGCTTTAGACACTGTATGTAAAATAGGAAACCATCCAAAATGTTGACACAAACTGCTCTAGACACTGTATGTAAAATAGGAAACCATCCAAAATGTTGACACAAACTGCTCTAGACACTGTATGTAAAATAGGAAACCATCCAAAATGTTGACACAAACTGCTCTAGACACTGTATGTAAAATAGGAAACCATCCAAAATGTTGACACAAACTGCTCTAGACACTGTATGTAAAATAGGAAACCATCCAAAATGTTGACACAAACTGCTCTAGACACTGTATGTAAAATAGGAAACCATCCAAAATGTTGACACAAACTGCTCTAGACACTGTATGTAAAAAAGGAAACCATCCAAAATGTTGACACAAACTGCTCTAGACACTGTATGTAAAATAGGAAACCATCCAAAATGTTGACACAAACTGCTCTAGACACTGTATGTAAAATAGGAAACCATCCAAAATGTTGACACAAACTGCTCTAGACACTGTGTGTAAAATAGGAAACCATCCAATATTTTGACTTTAATCTCAGAAAATCGCTATATCAAATTATTTGAAACATTTATCCATCGTTATAATTTAACAGCATTATAGGATTGCTTGTTCGCTTTGACAGACTCAAAGATGCCTCAAAAGACAAGAAAGGAAAGCAGAAATATCCTTTAAAAACAAAGTCTGAGCACATTAGTGAAATAATATACACTAAAGTCTGGAAGTTAAAAAGAAAATTTAGCGATTCAAAGCATAAACGATTCCTATTTAAATGTCAAGGAGTAGAAGAATAAGAAGGAGGAGAAGGAAAAGAATCACACGAGAAAAGGGATGATAAATCAGCTGGAGGGACTTTAAAAAAAAATGTATCCAGTTTCTACCATTTAATGTGCTAAAGATTTTGTACAGACAAGATACTTGTAGTTAATACTGTGTGATACAAACACTGACTTGTCGAACTGTTTATCTAATGCAAGTCAACAAACAGCGACGCCCATTAACCTAGTTTTATGGACTGTTGCCGTAAATCAGAAAACAAATACAACGGGGCTGTTGGTTGGAGAATTAATTGTTGACATAACTGAATAGGAGACTGTGTTCATTTGTTCATGCTTGCTTAAAGTGGAATAAACGCTTTCTGCAAATCATGTTTGCTGGATACTTGAGAATGTTGAGGTATCTATCTCTGTTTCTGTCTCAAAAAGTCTGGTATCGCTAGCACATTATAAGTGTATCCCTCTCTCCATTCTCTCCATCTCTCCCAAATTTTCCGTCATTTTCTCCATTCAGCTGTCTCCCTCTCCACTGTTTTCTCCCACTCGCTTCTCTCTATCTTTCTTATCTATATTATCTCTCACTCTTGTCTCTTTACACCCCACCCACTGCTCTCATATTCTTCCTCACTCTTTCCTACTTCCCAATAATAATAAATAAATAATTATTTAAAGCTCAACAGTTGCAATGTTTAAACTTTCGTTCCCCAGCTTAATCAAAGCTTTGCCATAATAATTTCAATATTTATAACATTTTCATCTTTTTCCACCTCTTCTCTACTCCGTTATGTGTCACATTGATCTTATTGTGTTCTTGTTATTATCTTCTTGTTAACAGTTTTGTTTCTTTAAGGTCAGTACAAAACATAGCGGTTCCCAAGATTTCGCGCAGTCCGAGCCCCAGAGAACCACTGGGCCGGTGGTAACAATTGTTATCGAGTAGATTTTTACACAAATGGAACTACAGTTTAATTTATTTGCAACATGTGTTACTGAATGAATTTTTTTTTTTCAAGATAAATATTTTCTTATAGCCCATTTATTTATCTCCCAAAAAATAATTCATTTAATAAAACATGTTGCTAATTAATTGCACGGTAGTTCAATTTGTGTATAAATCAACTCGATTACAATTGTTACCACCGACCGGCTATGCCAGCCTCACAAAAACGGAAATTCCCATTCCAATTCCAATTCGTCCAACAAAAATTCAAAATTTGATCCTCTTTCAGCCTCCCGGAGGCCTGCTATATCGAAGAAGGTTCCTTAGCTGTCTTATATGGTTTCCTTTTATTTGTGGTGTGTAGTCACACCTGATATTACGGTTGTTTGCTTCCTTGCTGTGCTGCTTGTGGTTTTTGGTTCTGGTGTGATCCAGATCTCTTTGTAATGATATCGACGGGTACTAGCTTGGCTTGCCTCGTGCTGGTCGCTGCGCTGGTGCCCTGTTGCTGCTTGGTTGCCGATCTGTGAGCCGCCGGAAAAAGCCAAACAAACATCGGTTGCGCCGTCATAAACAATGTTCCCTTTCAGGACAACCAGGGCCGTCTCAATCTGTTGTTGTGATCAGCCCGTTTTTTTTTTTTTTCTCACGGAGTGTGGAGAAGTAATGGAGGTAAGATAGACTGCAAATGAGAGATCAGTTTTCCCGAATGTGCCAGAAGATGTGATAGTTAGGTCAGGAGAATGAGAGTGACAGATAGAGGTAGGATCCACCCTGGTCGGTTGAGGTCACTTGGTCTGAAATAAAAGTGAAAGGCATTTGTTAAAATGCACGTGGGGTGGGGTGGGGTGGCATGATGGTGACTGGAATTCCCAAGAGCTGGTCCCCTTAGGTGCAATGCCCTCGGCTATCTGCTTCAGAGCGTCGGGTGGCCTGTGGTAATTTCCGTGGTCTTCTTTTTCCTGAAAATAAACTAGGTTAAGATTTTTGGTTAGCTCTATGGTAATTGTGTGGTTATTTGCCAGTGGGGCGGAGCGGGTGGGTGTGGCTCCGGTACGGCCACTGTCTGTCTGGTTGGCGGTTTGTTTTGGGGTGTCCGTGAAGATGGCGGCTTGTTTGGTGGGCTCCTCCTGTGGTTCTTTAGAATTGGCGGTAGCCTCTTCTATTCGGTGTGCCATTTTTTCCCTGCTTTTTCTTTGGCGCCCGGAGCTGGTCTAGGGCTGTGTTTATCTCGTCGCAGAATCGGTGAGCTTTCTCGCTCTTTTCCAGTAGTTCGGGTGTTTCGCCTTCATCTCCGTATTCCTCAAATGAGAAACCGATAACGTAGCGGCCGCAGTCGTCGAAATACTCCAGCGTGTGCTGAGCCACTTGCTTGTTGTAATCTTTACGCCTCGCTTAGAGGTCGGCGAAGCAGATTATTTCGGCTGCTGCTGTTTGGCTCACGCGTGGGGTGGCTGGCTGCCTGATTGGTGTTTCGTTGTTTTGTACTTCGTTTCTAGTAGGGTCTGTCATCTGTTCTTGGTGCTGCGTTACTACCGTTTCGGTAACTGTGCTTTTGTCGGCTTTGTTGATAATTGGTTGCTTTACAGCTTTCCTGGAAGCCTCTCTTTCTTTCTCTAGCAGGGCACGCTCCGTTCTTGCCGCCAGCATTGCAGCTTCTGCTCCTGCCTTTGCTTGGGTCATGAGGGCGACTTCTTTATAAGTGCTTTCTCGGGCTTCCTTGAGTGCTTCGGTTTCCTTTCTTCTCTCCTCCTTTTCTTCTTGTCGGCGGGTCTCGTCTGCAGCTTTTTCTGATTGCAATTTTAGGGTCATTTCTGTCAGGTTTTTCTGCATTTGTGCAGCCTCTGCTAGCCCCTTTGTTTGCTGCGAGACTTGATCTTGTCTGTCGTCTTTCAAGGCTTTGATTTCGTCACGCATTTGCGAAATCAGGTCTAGCAACTGCGTTTTGTCAGCGTCAGTATCGGTAGCGTCAGACTTTTCTTTGCGGAGAGCTCTGATTTCAGCTAAAATTTCAGAAATTTGTAGCGAGATTTCAGGGTCCTTTGCGGCTGTAATCGCCTTGTCGGTTCGTCTGTCTGATGTCCGTTGTGCTGGCTTCCCACTTGGTTGCTTTGATGCTGCTGAGGACCTGGGTGCCACGTATCTCTGTCTAGCTGCTTCGTGGGAGGTTCTTAGTGTCCTCTTGCACTGCTGGAGATACGGACAGCCCATGTATCTCGCACCGTGCGCACCGGAACAGTTGGAGCACTTGCGGTTGCTGTTCGGCTTCTTAAAATTGGTGTCCATTTTGGCTAGCGGGCACTCCTTGAATTCGTGCGCACCAGAACAGTATCTGCACGATACGCTGCTGCGGCATTTGAGCTGTACGGCCTTATATCTTAAGTTCGCCGTGGCTTTCCAAACGGTGTCGCGACACATTACCTTTCCAGCTGCAGTGTGAAGATATTTCGGGCGAACAAAACGCGTCAAAAAGAATAATCAACAATGACCGTTAATCTTTAACTGCAGGTTTTATAGTTGATTGAATTACTGTGTCCAGATATTATGTCTTTCTAACAAATGTGTCACTAGCATGAACAGTTTAAAGGGCTCTGCCAAAGAGAAATAGCTCTAGACCCAAGAAACTATTTAAAATAACGTTGACGAGTTCATCATGCTTATGTTCCACTTTCCCAAGTGGGCTCTAGGGTCCCATGTTTTAGACAAAAAGCATAGACCCACTGTCACTCTAACAGGAATATCGCTAAAGGCTACTAATTAGGAGTTTGCTAAACTCGGGCGTGTTGGGCCAAAAGAAACATACATCGCATCTTAGTTGTAAACTACAAAGCGACTTACCAACCACTCTTTTAAAGAAGAAGAATAAGACGACAAGCAAGTAGTAGTAGTAGCAGTAGTAGCAGCAGCAGTAACAGGGACAGCAGCAGTAGTAGTAGTAGCAGCAGCAGCATTTAAGGTCATAGTGCACCTGCCTGAGAGACAAGGAACCAACAATCTGCATACAAATATGTCTGATATGTAAAATAGATGTGCACGCAACACTCATGTTCTTGAACTAAAGACTAAAGTCCAGAACTTTCCGCTGGAGTTTAAAGCCGGTGAACACAAAGAAAAAAAAAGAATAAGAAGAAGAATAAGAAAAGAAGGAGAGGAAGAAATTGTATTAGTAATAATAATAGTAGTAGTAGCAGTAGCACAATTAGTAGTAGTAGTAAGTAATAGTAGAAGTAATAGTAGTAGTAATAGCAGCAGCTGTAGTAGTAGTAGTAATAGTTGTAGAAGTAATTGTAGTAGTAGTAGTAGTAGTAGTAGTAGTAGTAGTAGTAGTAGTAGTAGTAGTAGTAGTAGTAGTAGTAGTAGCAGCAGCAGCAGTAGTAGTAGTAGTAGTAGTAGTAGTAGTAGTAGTAGTAGTAGTAGTAGTAGTAGTAGTAGTAGTAGTAGTAGTAGTAGTAGTAGTAGCAGTAGTAGTAGCAACGAAAAAAACCTGTAGCCAGCAAGCCAGCAATTTTTGGTTGTACATTTTCTGACGGTAATTGTTACCTCAGCCTTTGTTCCTATGGGATTGTACACAAAAGCAATGTTAACTTCATGTCCCACGTGCCCGTCGACTATATTTAATTCAGTTCCAAGGGTTCTATTCCAATATCTCCCCCCAAACAGACATTTGAAAATTTTAGGGGGTGGTAGATAGGCTGCATGCAGTCGTGGGACCTAGGCTGCATGCAGTCGTGGGACATAGGCTGCACTCTGTCGTAGGACGTAGGCGGATTGGGGTTGTGCCCAGTTCTAGATGTTTTTGGGTAGTTAAAAGTATCAGAAAGCCGGGAAACCCGCTCTTACCACATTACAAAAATTGGACTGTCCCGTGACGTCATCCTGGGGAGAGATATAGGGAAAGCACCATTCCAAAATGTATGACCTGCATCAACCCAGATATATAGTTTCACTCGCTTAGTTTTGCCAAGACCAGTGACGCTAAGATAAAGAAATGGGTTTAGCACACCAATGATATGTATATTTTAGTGAAAAAGATTCAATGTTACACTTTTGGACATGTTATAAGAAGAAATCTACACGAGATCATTGTAACAATGGACAAGACTTATGGAAAGTGAGCAGGAGGAAGGGAATAGAATAAATACCCAGATGGCTGTTTTCCATAGATTTGGCGGGACAAGAACATTGAACTTACCTGTAATTTAAGTGATCGCGTGAGATGGCGAAATGTGACAGTCTTCGCTTACCGACACGGCGCATGATGATAATGATGATATGTTGAAATAAATGTAGTAATGCGCCTGGCAAATTACAGCTAAATTAGTCAGTAAACGGTGTAATATATTCCTTATGTCCTCAGTGTTTGATAAATGCAAGTGAATGTTATAAAATTAGATCTTTTAGACATCAAAGAATGATCACACATTTAGAAACAGTGAAGGTTAATGTTACAGCTGAAATGAGCACAAAAAGTTAAGAAAAAAAAAAAAAATAAAGCATACGATGTAAAGAATTCCCTAGTTTTTTCTTTGGGGCGGGGGACGGGATGTGACAGGCAGAATAGGATAGACCCATTGACCTCTAACAAACAAGTCTCAAAAGGCGATCAGTTAGAAGCGTTTCCATCCTGGCGTCCATCTGCATGACAGACCATGAGCCAACAGTCGGTACAGAAAAAGTGTAGAAGTGGACGAACAACTGGAACTTTCTACAGGAGTTTACAGTCGCAGACACTTAGAAGAAAGTGTAAAGAATTGCCAATTTGAAGGATTGATGAGTTTGCTCTCATTGGATAGGTAACCAATGTTGGAAAAGATTTGTTTATAAGTTAGAATGATAACTTTATATTTTTACTTTTTATTTTCCTCTAGAGCTCAACAGTGCACAACTTCACTGGGCAGATAAAAAACATTTACGAAGAAAAGAACGCATATTTGTTCGAGAACCCGTCGCTGAACTACATGTCCAAGGTTTCCCTGGCTTGCTTGGACAGCGTTGAGCCTAGCTAAGACTCCAGAAGACACCAGACATCACATCAAGGAGAATCTATTGTTTATACACATATACTCACATTTATGTATCTTTTTTTCTGTCAGCGTCTGTGGCTTAGGCGTTGCGAAAGCACTTCGCGATTCCGAAATACCCAGCTACTGTCAACTGCAAGCGATTTGCCAGCAGATCGTTTGCGTTTATTTCGATAGTCATATTACCGGACCGTTCAGTGGAAATGGCAAATTACTGAACGTAAAAAACCTGGTGAAACCACAAACAGCCACACACAGAGTCACATACAGACTCACACGCACCCTTTCATAAACACACCCACATTATACCGTATTTAGTTCTAGAACGTCATGTAAAGCATTGGAAGCCTTCTCTTTGAACACTCACATTTATGCAATTCGTAGACGAATCGTTGACATCTTCTTCACTTCCTTTTTTAACGCTTGGGGTCTCGATGGAGATATAAAATTCTGCTTCTTGCTCTTCTGATCGCCACAACCAGAGAGACATCCTGCTGTCGAAAAGTTTCTCTAATGTTTTCTTTCCATTTTATTTTTGGTGAACTGCATGCTCTACAGCCTACACCATTCTCCTTTGTTGGTGTATGCCTCGTGTGGTATGGCGTCACAATGCATTCTGTCTGCGTGGGCAAACAAGTTAATTTGCTGTCTTTGTATGTCATTTAGAATTGGTTATCTGTCGATTTGTTCTCTTAAACCCTTTTTTTTCTTATGTTTTCCCTTCTGGTCACATCTACATCCCCTCTTAGACATCTCATTTCTAAGGTTATTAATGGTTTGCTGTGAATGACCAAGCCTGACACTGATTGTATAGAGTGGGAATGAGGATGCTTTGTATTAGATATTTCATGCTTTTGATCGGGATTGTTTTTCGCTGTAAGAGAGAGGCTAGCTGTTGCACACTGCCTAAGCAAAATTATAGTCGTTGAGAACCCTTTATAAAATCGTTGCTTCTTCCAGAAATGTCAATCTATGCAACTTTCTAACGCATGCGAATAAACATTTCATTACTTTGTGTGTGTGTTTTTTTTTTTAATGGAAGTCTTTCGAAATATGATGAGAAGGAGAACACTGAAGTACAGAGTGACAGTAAGAGAGTTGAAGGTGAGGAGGGAGACAGAGAGAAAACATGCTGGACAGTTTGACATCATGGCATGGAGAAATCTCTGTGTCAGAGTTGACTGAAAGCACACAAGACATAAGGTTGTGAATATGTCTACCAACGCCACACGGCACTGACTTTGAGGAGGAGGAGGAGAAGAAGAAGAAGAAGAAGAAGAAGAAAAAGAAGAAGAAGAAGAAGAAGAAGAAGAAGAAGAAGAAGAAGAAGAAGAAGAAGAAGAAGAAGAAGAAGAAGAAGAAGAAGAAGAAGAAGAAGAAGAAGAAGAAGAAGAAAGAAGAAAAGAAGAAGAAGAAGAAGAAGAAGAGAAGAAGAAGAAGAAGAAGAAGAAGAAGAAGAAGAAGAAGAAGAAGAAGAAGAAGAAGAAGAAGAAGAAGAAGAAGAAGAAGAAGAAGAAGAAGAAGAAGAAGAAGAAGAAGAAGAAAAAGAAGAAGAAGAAGAAGAAGAAGAAGAAGAAGAAGAAGAAGAAGAAGAAGAAGAAGAAGAAGAAGAAGAAGAAGAAGAAGAAGAAGAAGAAGAAGAAGAAGAAGAAGAAGAAGAAGAAGAAGAAGAAGAAGAAGAAGAAGGGGAAAAAAATTACATTTGTAAATCGGCTGCGGCACACAGCTACATTTTTGCAGTCTACAGTAGTGTTCCTTAACTTTTTTTTTTTAAACCAGCGACCCACCAGAACAGGTTAAAATGTTTCGCGATCTGCGAAAAACAAGCAAACAAGAAACAAAAACAAATTTAAATAGCAATTCCTTAGGTAAATCATGTGTCATAAAATAACAATTTTTAGCTAATGCGTCTTGAGCTGTTTAGCGGTCACAAAATCTTTTACATGCGGCTGGAGCTGTTTAGCGGTCACAAAATCTTATACATGCGGCTGGAGCTGTTTAGCGGTCACAAAATCTTATACATGCGGCTGGAGCACGAATTCTAAGATACAATAAGCGTAATAACATACATTGGATTTTCTTTTGGTTTTTATTACTGACATCCCTGGGAAGACTTTTTTTTTTTTTTTTACACAGATAGGAAGTCCTTGAAATGTTAATCCTTAGGACTAGAAGAGAAAACCCTTACTCATTACACGATTAAACAATGTTTCTCTGCGGCCCAATAGGATTTTCCTGTGGCAAAGTGATGGGCCACAGATCACCCGTTAAAGAGCACTGGTCTACAGTAATCAGTTTGACACTAGAGGAAATTTTTTTATTATTATTAAATAGATAATTTTTACTGTTATGTGCTGCTCCGTGGCTTAGTGGTTACTGAACGATTTTCCACATTTTCCGCTGCGCGTGTAGGTTCCAGAACTATATTGTGGAAAAGAGGGGTGGGGAAAGGGGGTGGGGGGGGGGGGGGTAGACAAAAAAAAAAAAAAACCATTGCTTCTCCAACAAGCATGTCAGAGGATTCAAGTAACAGAGGGGACTTTTTTTTTTCATTAGGGATGCATCGGCAGGAGAGACAAGGAACGAAGAGTCTGCATACAACTAAGCCAGATCTGTAAAACAGATGTGCAAGTAACACTAAGGTTGTGGAACAAGACTAAAGCTCGGAGGCAACAGAACAATAATAAAATTCCGCCGCATTTAACAGCTGGCGAAAGCAAAATAACAATAATAATAATAGTAATAATAATAATATTGATTCAAAAAACCTTAACATATTCAATTGTTGCGAGAAATGGGCCTTTCTCTTGGCTTTGAGACAGTGGTTAAGAACGAGGCCTCACAACGTGCTATTCTCCAATGCAGCAGTAGGTATGATGACTGTACCCTGCAGCACCTTATGCTAACAGAGTTAATTAAATGGTACCATAGAATCACTAAGGCTGAGCTTTGGGAGAGAACTAAACAACTTCCAGCAGAGGTGAAGAAACTACGCTGCTGTGGATGGAACACACGTTAAGAAAACCTGAGAACAATATAACTATAATGTTTTTGCACTGGGAACCACATGGGCTTAGAAATAAAGGCAGACCGGGAACAAAATACACACACACACACACATTGCATGTAATAGCGAGGGAGAGAACGTCTGGTCCTGAGTTGGCATCGCTCCTTTGCTCCATTGAGGGATAGAAGGCAAAACAAAGAAAAAAAATTTTCTCTAGAGAGATGCACAAAATGTATAATTAGTATTTACCGATATATACTTGTCGTATAATGAATAGAACATCAGATACTGTTAGCCGAAATACACAAGATGCAATCCTGCATTTTCAAAACAAAGTGCTACTAAAGTACTTTAAAATCTAAACAATAAACAAGTCCTTCCATCAGCGACCAGGTCGCCCACTGACTCGCTGGTAGACGACTTCGTCGCCGGTCGGGACAGTATTTTGGGTCTATCACCTTTGATCGCATCGACACTGCAGAAGTGCTTTTCAAAGCTGCTTGGTGGTTAGCAATGCTAAGCCATTTCGCATGGGGCACATAACCTAGTCACAATTATAACCAAAATCTCCCCCTTTGGGATGCTGGTTGAACGTGACAAGTTTTTTTTTAAATTTAAACAAAGCAAGCAAGCAAGCTTTGCTTTTGCTGAGTGAGAGATTATCCCAACCCATCCTGGCGGCTTTCCGAAAATTTCAAAACGTGTCGTGTCTGTGAATAATACACACACTAAAAGGTATTCTTTTTTTTTTTCATTTGGAGGAGGAAGAGGGTGGGGAAGGAAAAAAACCTACCATTCCCGACAAGCACAAAGCCACTAATTAAGATTGTGCTGAAATCAAACTATCTGGGAGAGGCCTACATAAAACAACGAAGCTGTAAACCCACACAACATAAGGGTCAACCGAAATTTTAAGCACAAATATAGGAGAAGACGAAGAAGCATTCTCCTTTTTTAAAGGATTCCGGAATCTAGCAGATGGTGACGCTATTGTGCAGTTTTCCGGTGCTGGTTTAATTAGATCTACAAAAAATATGTATGTATGTATGTATGTATGTATGTATGTATGTATGTATGTATGTATGTATGTATGTATGTATGTATGTATGTATGTATGTATGTATGTATGTATGTATGTATGTATGTATGTATGTATGTATGTATGTATGTATGTATGTATGTATGTATGTATGTATGTATGTATGTATGTATGTATGTATGTATGTATGTATGTATGTATGTATGTATGTATGTATGTATGTATGTATGTATGTATGTATGTATGTATGTATGTATGTATGTATGTATGTATGTATGTATGTATGTATGTATGTATGTATATGTATGTATGTATGTATGTATGTATGTATGTATGTATGTATGTATGTATGTATGTATGTATGTATGTATGTATGTATGTATGTATGTATGTATGTATGTATGTATGTATGTATGTATGTATGTATGTATGTATGTATGTCTGTCTGTCTGTCTGTCTGTCTGTCTGTCTGTCTGTCTGTCTGTCTGTCTGTCTGTCTGTCTGTCTGTCTGTCTGTCTGTCTGTCTGTCTGTCTGTCTGTCTGTCTGTCTGTCTGTCTGTCTGTCTGTCTGTCTGTCTGTCTGTCTGTCTGTATGTATGTATGTATGTGTGTATGTATGTGTGTATGTGTGTATGTATGTGTGTATGTATGTATGTATGTATGTATGTATGTATGTATGTATGTATGTATGTATGTATGTATGTATGTATGTATGTATGTATGTATGTATGTATGTATGTATGTATGTATGTATGTATGTATGTATGTATGTATGTATGTATGTATGTATGTATGTATGTATGTATGTATGTATGTATGTGTGTGTGTGTGTGTGTGTGTGTGTGTGTGTGTGTGTGTGCGTGCGTGCGTGCGTGCGTGCGTGCGTGCGTGCGTGCGTGCGTGTATGTATGTATGTATGTATGTATGTATGTATGTAT